CTAAGACCTTATACTCTTAACTAGAATCGTAGGAACAAGCATATATATGTATACAATATATAATTTCTTAACTTTAAAATATTTGAAATTAAAAAGCCTAACAACACGTATATTCACTACTTATTAATACATTCTATTGTTGTCTTTGTCATTTGAATTGTTGTTAGTTTTTCAAACGTTCTTATTTCTTTTCTTTTTCTCTGCATAATTTATACAGTTGAGTTGCATTGAGAGATAATTAAGTGAAAAAAGCAAAAGCAACAATGCAAATACAAAAACTATGTACGTAAAACAAAACTACAAGTTTGCAATAACAACATTGTTGTTTTTTGTACTATAGAAACTTCTACATACAATTTATTTAATTGAAAATTCATTTTAGTGAATAAATAAAAAATGGTAATATGTTTTTCACAAATTGTTTCACAAACATGTTTTATGTTAGTAATCTTAAGGCTGCATTTCCACTGCATTTTTGCTCTCTGAGTTACTGCAATCGGCACTACGAGTAATATATGCAAATAAAGAAAGCCTATATACGCATGAAAATTTGTATTATGTCATATAAATAAAGTTTTGACATGGTCCACAATCGATTAAAGCACAAATATACGTTTTATATTTAAAAAATATTGTCATAATGTGAGTGAGAATAATGCAGAAAAATAATAATTTTTAAATGAAAACATTGGACCGTACGTGAGATACGAAATAGTGATAACGCTAAATATAATTTTTTGGTTTCTTTAATAGGTTTATTGATTGGTTTTGATCTGAAAATATACAATTTATACATTTAATTTATGAAATAACAAATTTCGATCACAAAATTTTAATCTGATGATTTCAATGAAAACAAAAATAATATAAAAGTGTAATAATAAAAAAGTTAGCTCAATAGTTAATAATTAGCTTCATAATAAGGATATATGTGTTTATATTAGGAATAAATTATCTATTTTAGTCAAGAATTGTATTGGTTTAACAATTTCTAATAAAGCATTTTAATTTTTATTCCTGAAAACATAAGCTCCATATCTTTGCATTAGGTTAACAAATATTGGGCGTATAAAACGACATTTAAAATGAATTCTTAATATATATCCATTAAAAAATATGAACCAAATAATTAAATAAATAAATAAATAAAAATATTAATATATTTATATTAATATGAATAAGGTTTAATAAACCTTATTATATTAAAATCTATATATTTAAATGAATATCTATATTTTTATGACATTATATCCATAGTTATTAATACTTCAAGTTGTTTTGCTTTTTTCTTACTGAAAAGCTTTTTTTTGATAAAAAATGGAAAGCAAAAAAAATATATTTATTTATTTTTTGAAGAAATAAGAATCCAATATATTACATAGTAAGTGTTAATACATGTCTACGTACCATTATTGACAATAAAGGCGCTCAGTGAAAAAAAATGTAAATATAGATTACTTGATTTCATTTCAAAACTAAAGTTAAAGATAGTGTCAAATGACTGTCTCTAAGTACTGATCAATAACAGTTAATAATAGTTTATTTAAATTTAATGAATTGCTTAAATTATGATCTCATTTTTGCCATTAATTTTATAAACTAATTTATAATTTTTTTGTTTAACAATACCAAAATTATTATAAATTAATAAGATCTATATAATTTTTTTTTACAGTTGTACATTTTAAATATATAGTAAAGAAATAGTAAAGAAATATTAATCAATAGTAAAAATAAAGGAAAGAAATTTCTTATAACATCAAATTTTAGTACTTTTAATTAATTGTATTATTTTAGTATTGTTTATATTTATTATATAAAGAAATTATGACAACAATTTAATTACTTCACATATTGATTTCTCTTAAACACCTGTTTTTAAAACAAAAATATTTAAATTTGAAAAACTTCTCCAATCCAAAATTGTTAAATCTTTAAATAACAAAATTTATTATAATTAAAATTTTGCGAAATGAGATAGTATTTTTGCCACCTGGCTTATTACTTTGATATCAAATAGATAAGATTACAAACCTACATATAATATATAATTTATTATATGTAATACTAAAGGTAGTTAGCGATTGTAAAAGAAAAAATTTATTTATGTGTCTGTCTTTAAAGCAGTGAACTAGTGTTATTATTTCCCCTTATTTTTTTTTTGTTAAGTAAATATGACTAATATTCAAGACTAAAATAGATTATAGAAAAAAATCATTTATTAAACTATTATTAACTCTTAGTTTTTATTTATAAAGATATGGAAAAAAATATTTACATATGTTTTAAAGTTTTTATCAAATGGATTTCTGATATGATATAATTTTGAATTTGAATTAAAACTAAACATATTATTAAATTATACAATTGCAGAATATATTTGTTTTGTAATTAATAAAAAGAGAGGTTTAGAGAGGTTTCGAAAAGTGTGAACTACAACAAACATTCTGTATTTATTATTTTAATTAATTGAATTTTTGACTAACCATACATTTGTTTCGAATATTGCCAAATATTCATCATCAGTGGTTTTGGCACAGAATGATATTATATATACTACCATCTTTATTCCATAATTTTACTCCTTGCCATAATAGTTCAACACTCTCTTATGGAATAAGGATTAAGCTTAACTTGAGCCACATCATTTGATTATTTTGGCGCATTCGGGCAGATCTTAGATCAATCATTGAATAATCACGAAGATTATCAGGAATACTCAAATTAGTCAGGGAGATGGACGAGACTCTGCAGAATTCCCCCAGCTATCATAGAGTAAAAGTGCCCAGATGCACTAACTCGGAAAAGGCTTAACATAACTTAACATAAGATTCTGTGACTTAGTAAGTTTTGCAATGTTAAACTGAGACTTTGGGATAGAATAGTATTCGATCACATTAGTTTCTAAGTTTGAAATATTATAGCACAAAATAACCCAACAACAGAGAGAGTATAAAAGAAATTTAAAGTACTAATCGGTAGACTGGGAGAAGATGTGAGTTTCGAATATATCAGAGGTTTTGACCATTCTAATACACGATTGTTTTTTTTAATTTTTTTGACCTATATAAAGCAATTTCCTCGGTATTATCAATTGCATGTTTTATGCATTGATTACATTCCACAATGCTATTTGCAACCATTATTTTTATTGTATCTTTTGCTCAAAAAATACTCAGAATTATGTAAATTAATTTATTTTCAAATTAAAATAGTTTACACTTTTTATGGGTCCTAAGTTTTTTGACATTGACTGATTACCTTGTTATTCGTAGAACAGTCATTTTTATGAACTAATTTGTCATAGTAAATCGGAATCCCTAAAGAAAATTCACTACCTTATACGTCATTGTAAAAAAATATATTTAAAAATTAATTATTGCAATAATAAAATTTTTGGAACATATAATTATAATTATTTATATTTGAGTTTCGTAGGAAAAAAAAAACAATTTATTTAATGATAGTAACATTTAAGTTATTATATTAAATATTAATATACTATACATTACAAATAATGTATATAATACAATGTACATATATAGTATTATATTATATTCCAACTACTAATATTCATTAGTTATTATTAACTAACATACTATACAAATATTTACGAAATAAGTAAACTGTGAACAAATTTTACAAAATAAATATGAATATGATATATAAATAGATGATATGCTAAAATTACTTTAAAATAGATTTCATATTATATTTTTTACTTTTTACTTTAATTAATTTTTTATTTGAGTTTTTTACTCAAATTTCTAACAGTCTTTTTCATATATAAAGTCATTTTACAAAGATTACTTAAATACTTCAATTTAGTCAAAGGCGTTAGAATCCAATGGTACTCTATTCCAAAGAGTTAAGCCTCGGTTTTACTTGAAATTATATTATTCTACATCAAGGACCCAATTAGTTGAATTATTCAGGTCATATTAAATATGCCATAATGAATGTATTAGATAGATATTTCATTTGATCTTTGGAGATAATAATTGAACTTTGATGAATGCTGTACAATATAAAGTTGTTTAATGGTATTTTTAGTTATTTCAGCTGTGACCCAAAAGTTAATAATAATAAGCATTGATAGTTTCCAGCTAATAGTGGAATTGTGTTGAACAGCTAGAATAAAAGTAATCAGTTGTTTTGTTATAATTTAATTACAAGCCAGTATATGACATATATACATATGTGATCTAACATATGTAACTAATTTGGCGACCAGTTAAAGTGAGGTCAATAGGCTAACCACTTTAGCAGAAATTAATCTAGATAAAACTCATATGCTTATAGATCCTACTATTATTATAATATAACAGCTATTTTTCATCCACTGATATCTCATTTAGATAATATATGTATGACACTCAGCAAAAAGTATATATTGTTAAAATACTTCTAACAACGTAAGATACATCTATTAGCGTAAGGGACTTTTAATCTGACAGAGATTATATCTCAAACTTAAACGACTCTAATAATTTTATAAAAATTTTCTGTTCAGTTATCTATAAATGGATATATTTGATTTATTGAATGAGTAATACCTAGTAAAATTTCAAATGAGTTTTCCCATGTTTATTAATATGTTTGTTCCATGGATGAAAAAGTTATCTAAGAACACAATATATATCTGACGTCAAAGTTGATATGCGAAAAATGGAAGTTCAAAGATGGCATAAAGATGGAAAACCCTAGTTGACAAGATTATTTTGATGCGTAACGCTTTAAGTTGATGTTAATGACATGTCTAGATTCTATGAATAATAAATTTGTTAATAGCATCTTAAATTTTTGTTAAAACGAAAAATATTTTCTTTTGTTTTTATTTTAAATAAGATATCAAATAATTGAAAATTAATTCATTTTTTCAATTTCAATGCCTATCAAGTTAACCTATCAACTGTCAAAGCAAATATTTTTTATAATTTTAAGATATTTTAAATTTTCAATACAATTAATTTAGTCTTATATATAATGAATAAATTTATTTTAGAGTTATTTTGATTTGAAAAACACTTAAAAATGGAATTTTAAAAATGGAAAATGCAAATCTCCATTCATTCCAAACAAATTAACCAACTCTTTATCTATGTGGTAAGTCCGCTCTATCTATTTGTCAATGCAGTTTTGCTTATAACTTCCGATACTGATAAAAATATCTACATCAAATGGCATTTCTCTTTTTTTAATATTCTTATTTGCATCAAAATTCAATTCCCCAGTTGCATTTATAGCTGATTATTTTTTCTTTAAATATCATTTCTTATCAATTTGCAAAAAAGTAAACTAATTATGTTTTGTTTTTAATTTAATGAAATTTATTTAAATTTTTGTGGTGTTATTTTTTAAAGCTTAATTTAACTAACTCTAAACAATTAAATTGATAATACCTTTCAGTAATCTCGCCGAAAATTCTGAAAAATGACGGTGCCAAATAAACACGAGCAGGTGTTCAATTTTTTATAGAAGCCAAAACCAGCCTTTTTATTTTCAGATAAGATTTACACCTGCGCATATTATATATCAAATGTTATCATACATAATTTTTATATATGTATATTTAATGTTTTTATTTTTGATAAAAAAAAATGAAGTCTATTAGATTCCTATGGAATTGAAAAAATCATACCAATTCGGCTTTATTTGCAAAGTAGTGAAATTTTCGGCAAAAGTTTACTGCAATTAGTCATTCCTCATCTACTTGAGCCCTTATTCCGAGCATGAGTCGCACTGATTTCGGTTTGCATTATTCATGAAACACACTTCGAAGACATTAGTAGTTTTTTAACAGAAGACCATTATAGTTAATATATAATACATATATATTAATTTATATATAATAAATATATATAATAAAATAAAAAATAGTGTAAGGTTAAAAAAAAATTTAAATAATTTACAAAAATATATATATAAAAAAAAATAAAAAAAAAGTAATAAATAAAAATATGTAATTAAAAAATGCACACTAACTGAAAAGATATTCATAATATAAAACAAATAATAATAATAATAATAAATAATTGTGATCAGTTTATGTCGAATTTTATATATTTTTTTTTAAAGAATACTTGATGGAGAAATTAATTATATTATATTATGTTTTAAAAATTAAATTGTCGATTTTGCAGATAAATAATTAGACACTATTCCGGACACAATTTGCAAAATAAAAACTACTTAGTACATTTTTAAAATTAATATTTAATTGTGATATATAAACTAAAATTAGCTTAATTAAAAAATAAAACAATCATCTAATAAAATATTAAAATATTTAAAATATTAAAAGTGATATTAAAGAAGTGATATGTACACATATTTGTTTAACAAAAAAAAAATTTAATTTAATATAATATATTGAATGTAATATTAAATACAAAATAAATATGAATTCTGTAATAAATAAAAAAATAATCAATATTACAAAATTAAGACAATTATATGATTATTAAATAACATTTTATTTTATAGATTATAAAACATAAAAAATAGAGTAGAAATGTTTCTCAATTATTATTAGTGTTTCAAATGTGTAAAAATTGTTTGTTTTAAAAATAATAAAAAATTTTTAGGACTTAATTTACAAATAAATATTTATTCCTGAACCTGCTGAGTGTATTAAATTTTATAAATTATTTAACGGTACAATAATTTAAATTATATAAATAAAATAACAATAAAAATGTAATAGATAAACATAAAATTTTAATTTGAAGTATTATTTATTTTAATAAAATTAATTTAAAATAATATTACAAATAAAAACAATCACAATATCTTCTTCTCAATCTTTTCTTAAAAAAAACTTTTGATTTTTTATCGTTACATAGCTGTTATACTATGAGTTTGAATATTAATTACCTGTGACACTACGTTTATCTTGCCCTTTCTTAATTCTCTAAAGGATTTCTTCCACTTCAACTATATCTAGAAAAGTAAAAATTTTTTCTAGGTTAATGTTTCACTATATTGATTTGTAGATCAATTCTTTGTATAATATTCTTCTTCGTAACGTATAGGAGCTGGGCATTCTCCAAATATATTTTAGGATATTTCTGTGTTTTCCACACATTATCTGCATTCGTCAGTTTCTGCCAGTTTTAACCGGCCTTTATATTTGCTCAAAAGACAGTGACCAGTTATCACTCCATTAACTGTTTTTAAGTCCAATCTATTTAGATTGGAATTCTTCTCAGAGTCATTTTGGAAACAAGAGCTTGGTGCAGTGGGGTGATCCCTACTTTTTGCTGATACTCATAATTGGCTCCGGCTGTATTTGAGTTAAATTGATTTTCAAATTATACATGTGCTATGACAAACGTATATGTAAATACTTACAAAAATAAAATATATAAGCTAATTTAAAATATTAATAAGAAATGAAAAACAACCGCGAATGACGTTTATAAAACAAGTTCTAAGAAATATAGCAGTACTTAAACCAAGTATAAAAAATTAAATAATAAGCAAAAAATTAAATGAATGTGTTAATGATAAACAAAATACTTATTAAAAAATTTAAAATATAAATATAAGAGTCATAAAAATGAATAAATATGTGCCACAATAATTCATCTTAATTCGAAATAACCAAAGTAATCCCAAAAAAAACTTTAATGCTTATTTTATCAATAACTTTAAAAATATGAAAACTATAAATTATATAAAACATTTTTTAAAGTTGTCTTAATAGAAATTTAAGACACATATAAAGAAATTACCGAAATATTTATTATAATAATAATTATTATCTATAATAATCATTATCTCAAAAAATTATATTAAAATTTCAATATGGAATAAAAATTTTGGATTACCAAAAAAAAAAATTAAAATCTGAATCAGTAAATAATAATATATACTAATTGATATAAATAAATTAAAAATATATATAATTTCAAACGTAAATAATATTTATTATATTTATAGTTTCTTCAATTACAAAATTTTGAATAAATTCTAATCAATATGGTGTATAGAGATTTGGTAATGAATTACTTACAGTAAGTATCCTTCAATACTATTTCAACACAATTTTCAAATTCATTAGTAAATTCAAATATATTAAAATTTTTTCAAGTTAATAATAAATTAAGTTATTAGGTAATTTAATTTAAAATATTTTTATTGTTATTCAAACATTCACTTACTATATTATTGAATAAAAATACAATATTTTTTATATATTTTTTTCAATTAATTTACAGCTTTACAAAATTACAAAATTCAAGTTACAAAAAATATAAAAATTTATAATGAAAATAATACACAATATTAAAAAATAAAAACACTTTTTTATAAAAGATTTATTCACAATTACATTAAATATTACATTTTTACTTGCTCAGAGTCGTTGATTCTAATTATTCACTCAAAAAATCTTTGTAATATCAAAATAATTACCTTTTATAGAGATTCATTTCCAATATTTATTTATTATTCCCTTGACACATTGGAGTAAATTCGTAGACTAAAATCTTATAAAACTTTTTAGATAGTTTATTTAATTTAATTTTAATTTAAACATTCAACCACTTTTGATGCAGCTGAAATGTACAACTGATTTACACAAATTTTCAACCACCGAAATTCATCTAGTATGGCCTCACTCACTAATTAACCCTCTAAGATTTATGCTCAAAATTCAATCAATTTTATTCTAGAGCCATTAGCATTAATTTTTCATCGTGAACACTACTATTATTTGTTAGTTGGCTCGTGTTGCTTCACAACTCGAAAATATTATTTATGTATATTCTATTTATATTTTTTATTTAAAAAATATTAAGCAATAATCACAGGTTTTAGATAATGTCATTAGGTTTAAAAAGTTTTTGAACTTTGTACTTTAATTACGTTAATTCAGAAAAGCAGACAAATCCATTATTCTGGTTACTTTCATTAGGTAATGTGAAAATTTATGGGATTTTTTTATATTATAATAGTTTACAAGAAATATTTTATTTTTCGGAATAAATAAGAAATTCAAAGAAATATAATTTAATTTGATTAAAAATAAAAATTTAAAAATTATAACTGAAATATGTTCATATACTACATTATCTACTACTAAACTACCATGAATTTACATATATTTAATACACAATATAAAGAAATTTTATAATATTGTTCATATTTTATATATTTTCAATAAATATATATATGTTTTTAACAGAGTTGTCATTCCACTAATTTTCTTTCTAAAATTTTTTAAGAGTATAGTGCCTAACATAAAATATATTGTTGTTGAACTGAGGTTCCGAAAAACCCAGAGCTAATCTCAAGATTTTTTTGTCGAAGCGCCTTGTGAAAATTGTGTAAGTATTGAAATTTCTTTTTTTCAATCTTATGAATATGATAGTCCGGGTCGAACTTATAGGTATACTCTAAAAATAAGATTCAGTAAAAATTAATAGAAGTTTTTCTATATTTAAAACATTTAATATGAGCCTTAATAGTTAAATTTATGTAGTAGTATTGTAGTAGTATTTAGTTTCGTAGTTATTCAATACAGTTATCGATAAATATTTCCAAAAGTATTTACTCTGAATTATCGAGTCCATTAGAAAGTATGATTAAAGAGCGAATCTATGTACCAGATATCACTTAGACTGTCTATTATGTTGGTCGAATATGTTAGTATAGGCTTATAAAATTATCTCTCCCTTTTACTGATTTCGTTATTTTTAAGTAAAAATACATTTCTATGATTTCCGATTCAGGAGCTAACTGCGTCACTTAAGTCAATTATTTGCTTTGAAAACTAAAAAATAATATTATTTCTATTTACATTCTTTGATATATCAAAATAGGTTTCAAAAGAATTTATAATAGGTTTCAGAAGCATAGATCAATGACGTAAAAGTTGATCTTTGAGCAATTGAGTCCTTTGATCGTAAGTGGAAAAATCATTATTCGCTTATATATCAAAACTTCAGTCAAATTTTCTTATTATCCTTTTCGGACTTAATGGGTTAAAATATTTTAGAAAGGATATTTGTTACATGATATAATAATATATGCGTAAAAAAATTAAATTTTAAGCATATTATTAACAATTTTCATAAGCCATTGATTTTGTTTTACATTATCATTACTTACCATTATAGCCTATTCACACGGCACAACTTTTATTATATTATATAATATTTATATTAATTAAATAATATATTTATAATATATTAATATTTTGATTTTGATTTTGCCTATTCAGAGCGTTTGGTAGATTTCGTATAATATCAGACTGAAATTAATATATTAATAAACGATTCCATACAAAAATCCAATAGCCAAAATAACGATTTAACCTAATAAAGATCTGATATATTTTTATATTCTTTATAATTTTTCGCAAAAATAAAGCAAAGAATATAAGTGGTTACAAAGCATTGAACCGATGGAAATGCTTAATCAAAAATAGAAATCCTTATATAGATAAGTTAATGCATATTAACAATGAAATGATTTTCGTTTAATCCAACTGATAACAGATAAATACAAAGTATTATAGAAGGGGTTAAAAATATACTCGACTGGTAATCATCGTACTCTTCGCGTTTCTCTTATATTTCTGTAGTTCACTCTTTTGCTGATAAGGTTCCATAGAAATTGTCGAAGTATACGACTATCTCCCATATTTATTATTTTATGATTTAGTATAAATTTATGGTGCAGTGCAACAAAATGATAAGAAATTGTTTGGTTCAACTTCTCCACAGTAATAGCAAGAACTACAACAACAACAGCAGAACAGTTAGTATAAATTGACAAGTAAGCACGTTTAAAAAAATGAGGTAAAAATACTGGTAAACAAAGCAGAATGGGAGTACAAGAATAGAATTTAGTCGAAGCGCATACTTTAAGCGGGTAACTTCATTAAAGTAGAATGTAGGCGAAAAATTTTGTTATGAAAAAAAAAATTTTATATCGCTTTAGTCAAAAACAACGTGAACTTCAAATAAATAATAATAATATGTAATATACATTTTATATTTTCTTTTACGAATTTAATAAATACAATAATAAAGTATTTCATTTACTTGAAATTACTTAGAATTTTATATATTTGAATGTATATTAAATCAAATCGGTAACCATAAAAGTAATTAAATCGCATATTTTTTATTTAATATGTCAAAAAATTATATTTTAAAAACTTCTTTAAAAATTAGTTAATATAATACAAGAGAACAAATTAAACTGAATAAATATGTCGGAACCAATAGTGCAATTTCGCAAAAAGTCAGAATTTGACAGTAACAGAAACTTGAGAAATGTGGAAAGAAATCATGCAATGGAAATCGAAAAGAAATTGAAAAGAATTTCGATGGTCGAAACACCGAACCATTACAGTAGCGATTTGCAATCAGCTAGTCTGCGGAGATTCCTTTCTATACAGTAAGTTTCATATTCAAATCTAAATTTATTATAGAAAAAATTATACAATCATATCAAACAAACCACAGATTATTTTATCAAACTAAACTAAAAAATAATATTTCAAAAAATTTTTCTAAGAGACACGAGTAAACTTTATTATTATTTGAAAATAATCGAAATCTAATCTACCATCAATTACTGCTCTTATTGGACTCTAATACTCGCATACATAGTGATTGAAAACGTGATAATTAATCTTTATGTACACTTGTCAAACTTTCAGAGTTAGTATTAGATTAATTGTATTAACTTTTAATTTTTTTCTGTTTTTAATAATAAAACCATCAAGTGCCCACCTGCAAATTTTTATAATTTTTCATCATGAGTTCTAAGTTTTATTACTTGATAAAGGTTTGCCACCAATTGCCCCGATTTTGTGGGTAGTGTTCTCCCAATTCTTTGGCTGCTGATTATAAAGTAAATGTTTCTATTTTTAATTTTAAAACTGTATTTTTTTTTTATATGTCATTACATATTCTAAAAAGAATCTAGACTTTGAGGTTTATAGTCTGTGTATTATATCCAGAATAGCGAACCGATTTTGAAGAGAAAACTTTTTAATGCCATTCGAACAAAGCAATGGTTCAGAGATTAAAGCCCGCACATCGAATGACTTCAGAAATTGTATGACCCAAAGCCACGATAAATTTGTTTATAACCTCCCAGTTTCTTTGCCAACCGATAGTACCAAAATATATGCGTTTTAAACATATATATCCGTACTTTTTTAATTAATTATTTTCCATATAAATTGAGAAAGACATAGGCTTATGAAATTTCACCACCGAATAATCATTGCATTAATTTTCATTATTTTAAATTATGTAAACAGTATAAGAATATTTCCTACTTTTGTATTTTTGAATATATTTTTTTTAATCATTTTTTCCTTTGTTTATGATATCAAATTAAATGAATTTTATATTACTAAACCGTATCTACTTTGTAAGTATAAGCCCTCAAAAACACAGATAGACATAACAAAAAAAATATTTCAAATATTACTACAAAAAAAAAAAATTTAACATGAATGAAATTAAAATATAAAATAAATAACAATTAACATACAATAAATAAATTCTGAAAATTCACGCAATTTTTTAAAAAATTCTAATCATGTTCACAACACCTTCCGTGCTTTTATCACTTTTACCCAAATTTCATAAAATTTATTTTGGCCCAGTAAGAAATATTGCATCACTACTTTAATAAGAATTAATTTTTAATCATTTTTATTTTTGGTTACAATAAAATTCTTGTTCATTTTATTGATTGTTTTACGAAGAAACAATTTATTAATGACATTGACTCTATCGCTATAAGCATATCGTTTATGACAATGAATTGACACTATATCCTTATTAAAATAGTTTTATTAATGACATTGTGCTCTGTAACGATTATTAGTAAATTTATTCTTCAACAAATATAAGGGTAAGGGACATATACCACATATACCATACTATTTATCTTATCGAACTTTACAACACACCTTGTAAACACTTAAGTCTCTTTTATAATTTTTTTTTGTTTTTCTTTTCAAGAATATATTATATACTCGTTTATTACCATTATACATTGTATATGAAAAATATATTTTTAAGTTATGTACATGTCATCTCTGGGGTTTTTGTTTTCTATTTACTATTACTTTAGTAATTAGCTTCACTATTTGTAATATAAAATAGCTTTATGGTTGTTTATACCTTGGGATTTCAAATTTGAATCACTTTTTACAATAAAACAATATAATAGTAATAGTAATACAGTTAATTATTAAATTTTTACTATTAACAATAATATAAAGTGTGTCAAATTAGATGTTAAAAAAATAAAGAAGAAGAAACTAAATAATATAAGACTTTTAGAAATCAATAATGTCCCGTCATTGTGTATAAAAAGTTTTTATAATTTTTCAAACATTTAAAATATATATTTAAAAATATAGAACAGAGTTTTTATATATAATATTAAAGAAAATTATCTTTACAAAAATATATGTTATATTATTATAAAATATCAATATTTAATATATTTTTTAAGTAATTGTTATTACGACCGATATTTATTTAGTTTTTATATTTTTTACCGGGCTTAGGTCGTTTATTTAACACATAAATTTATAAAAATGTTCTTTTAAATAAAATAAAAAATTACACTTTTTAAATTTATTTTCAGTGTATAATGATAATAAATTATTGTTAAATATATTATTATTATTATATTATTATTAAATTATTATCATTATACACTGAACATGATCACTGAAGATAATTTTGTATAAAAATTAAATATAACTAAAAATTTAACACAGTTTAAAAAGTGTAATTTTTTATTTTAATTAAAAAGACATTTTTATAAATTTATATGTTAAATAAACGACCTAAGCCCGGTAAAAAATATAAAACCTATATATTTTTTAATTATATACAAATTAATATTTTTATATTATATTTATTTAGAATTTTTAAATTAAATTAAAATAAAATTTAATTCAAAATTGAATTTAATTTTAATCAAAACTTAATTTAAATTAAAATTTAATTCAAAACAAATTTGAATCATTTTTTAATATAAGCAACCTTATGATTCAAAACAAATTTGAATCATTTTTTAATATAATGATGATTTTCCCAAATTAATATGAATTGTATCATACGACTATGCGTTTCAGATGAAATCATTTTAAATCTATAAAGTAAAAATATTTCTGTTTTTCTCTGGAATTCGGATTAATATCGCTATAGAATACATTCATGTCAGATGTCCGAAATTAATAGACTGTTAAACACTTTTATATCATTTATGCTATTGCAGTAAATGTGTTCAATATGAAACTTAATTCCTTGTTTATCTTGGCTTCAATATTATGTGGAATTCTTTCATCTGAACACTAAAATTATTGTACCAATTATAGTATATTCTTACTATAATCTACCACAACTTTTATATGCATATATTTACCAAATATCTCATTCAACTGCTATTTATATAAATAAAAATACTAAATACCAAATAATGTTTCTCTAAGCATATTACATTTGTAAAAGAAAAGCTTCATTATTTTAATTATTATAATTTTTTTCTTAATATAATATTTTTCTTATAATAATTTTTTTAAGTGTACGAATATTACACTCATAGGCATAAATGCTTCATTTGATATAGTCACACCATTTTTCTGAAGTGACGTTGATCATACGCCTCTTAATGCGCAAAGTTTAAACTACCCGAAATTATTTTAAATAATAAATTGCTAAACAATCTAAAAAAAGAATGTTAAATAAAAATTTTTTATTTAAAATAAAAATACCATAATAAAAATTTTTTAAATAAATTTTCTTGCAATTATCTTAAAAACGTCACAATTAAACGCTAATCTTATGATCATGAAGTACTCGTATCAACGACGTCATCAAGTAGATAAAAATGAGCTAATTGTTTGAAAATTGTTTCACTGACGTATAAAATGCAGAATTTTTAACAAAAATATCTTAAATATTTTCTAAAATTAATTATAAGTTTATAGAGCTTTTTAAAATTGACTTTAATATACAACGTTGTTTATTTTTATATGAAAACTTAGCTATTTTTAACAAAGAATTTTTAACACAATATTAAGAACATAAAAATAAATTAGTTTTTAACTTCTATTTAATTATTTATTTATTTTACTTAATATATTTATTTTACTTAATTTATTTGCTCAATAAAATTTCACTTGTATATTAAATATTTATATAAATTATAACAAAAACTGACTTCAAGAACTCATTGCTAGTTCAACTTTGAGAGATCACTGTTAAATAGGCACAAACTCGTACCAAAAAAAAAATTAGGAAGATACCAAATAGTCAACGTTGCCTAATAGATTGCGCTTAGTGACAGCAGATCTTTAACTTCTTTCACTTCTAAATATTTTGCCTGAGTAACCAGATTACCCTGAATTTAACTGCTGTTTAATATGACTTGAAAGGCAATGTGTGAACAGAACCACAAGAATGTTGGATTACTCTGGAAACCTTTAATTGGGCAACAAAATTTGACAGATCGAAAGCAAATATAGATTGAATCCAGATTGGTAATCAAAAAGACTTAAGTTTTAAAACCAACACACTCGATTGATAATTCCTCAATTAAATTATGATGTTCTTCAGGCTCATTAGTTCTTGAACTTTTATATTTCAGTGTTTTATTATTACAAATTCATTTTCCTCTTCTTCCCTGTAGCTTATGTATTTCTTGGGTTACTACAGTCCAATGACTTCTGGACACCGCAACGGATTTTACTGCGTCCTTGTCCGGCCTAGTACAATTTTTCATGTTAGTGTAGATTTTTCGCAACCCGCGTAATATTTTCTTTATTTTTAATCTTAGAAAATAATTTAAAATAGTGTTTAAAGTTTACGAAATTTAATTCCTTGCAATTATCGTATGTCAATGCAATTACATCCATATATGAAAATAAAATAACATGAAAGCATAAACATAAATTAATATAAAAAGAATATTATAAAAATAAATTGTAGAGCTGAAAAAAACTAATCTTATACAATAATTTTTGTATATTACCAAAATAAAATTTATATGATATAAAAAAATTAATAAGTGTAAGAACTCATTGCTTGGTTTAAGCAGTTAGCATGGAAGAGAGATTACAGAGGTAGACTTTAATAGGATGTTAAATATAATGGAGGGTTTCGAATAACCGAAAACAATCTTCTATTGTAAAAGCATCATTATCTAAATAATGGGGTTATTCGAAGAGCAGAAATGTTAAAAATTTTGTCTACAGATTTTTTTTCAAACATATTGATACAAAAAATATAACTGAAAAATTTTCTTTTATAAGTTTTTGGATTCGTTAACTAAACTAAGGAAATAACATATATTTCGATATTAATATATTTCAGTAAAAAATATTTTATATATATTAATAGATTCTAATTATTAATATATAATATACAAATTGAAAAGAAAATTATACATTAAATAAATTATTCACATAGATAATACGCTATCCAAACTATCAATAGATAATAAGTAATTCCAGATTCTAGTAGATTTTACTATTCTTCATTATTAATGACATTACTTGCGATTAACTTAAGTGGAGAAAACCTCGATAAGTTTAAATGTGACCGATTTTATGAATCATGTGAACAAATGTTTATTGCAACTCGTGTTTTTATGATATATGATGTACGTCGTATATTGTTAATAGGTAGCCTAAAATATCAGTGATATTGTTTTATGAAAGGTTTTTATTGATGGTAATAATTGGGTGTTAACATTCTAATTGGAAGCTATTTTTATTTATAAATATTTTTATTTTGTAATAAATATTAAAATTTGTCTTACTGAAGAGAAAAGAAATTTGTTTCACAGCTCCAAAATAATAATATTACATGAAGTGCAAAAGGTGACTCACTGTATGATTCACAAAATCCAAAATATATTTTTAATATTTTATTTCACACGATATGATATACTCAATTGTAAGATTAATTATTAGCCAAAACTGATTAAGTGGTCTAAATTCGTGAACACGACTATTTTTGTGTATTCTCAGTCAAAATAATGTTGGCACCCATAGAGATGGTTACAGCGACCGGAGGGATGCAAATGTTTAAGTTTGTTAAAAATTAATTTTTAATATTTTTAATAGTAAATTAGTATTTTTAAAATGCGATATTTAATAAAAACTCAAATTTAAAATTAATAATATTACTAATTTAATAATGTTAGTGTTAAGAGAATAACAAATGATTCCAAAAATATTGACAACTATTTAAATATGCAATAGTTTTTAATAAAAAAAACTTTTTTGTGAAAGCCGGTGTATTTTAAAATTAAATTTTAGTGTATCAAACATTTATAATATAAATAGTAAAATCGAAAAATACTACTAAACATATGTTCAAATATAACACCCGGAAAATTTTTTTTATAAATAATATAGAAACAAAACATTTTAATTGATAAAAAATTTATAATGTACCTAAAAATATAACAAAATGATCTTAACAGCAAAATGTAAAAAATAATTATTAATAAGAAATTTATTGAAAATATAATAATTATAAAAAAAATCACAGCTAAGGTTGTGTGTTATATCCGATACAATATATAACAAAACCTACATTTTATTATTTGTCAATGATTAAACCCTAAACCCGCACGATTGTACAAAACTGAGTTCAATATTTTCCATGGTTATAAACATTTTAATAATATCATTATATTTATTTATATTGTATCTCTTGATAATATAATGAAATTATCCTGGTCCTAAGATAAAACTTCTATAAGTTTAACTAAGAATATTAGGGTATATTTTGTAATATATATCTTAATACTATCTTAATATATATGGTAATACTACAGAAACAAATTCCATTACTCTTAGAGCAAACCAATGAATACCATGAATATAATTATTATAAAATATATCTGTTGAGATTTATATATCATTTGAAAAAATCAAATTTCAAAAAAAAAAATTATATGTTATTTATCATTTCAGCCTTTTTATTAATTAAAAATAATTAAAAAAGTTAACTACAATTACTCCAAAAAAAATATGTTATAAAACATTATTGTGTATTCAAGATATTCTAAATAAAATGCTAGATACTAATCAATATAAGTATCTATATAAAAACAATTCGAATAATATATATTCCGTTAAAAATGGAGTATCTTATGTTATAATACTCGGCACTAAATATTATTGGTTTATTAAATCACCAGGAAGCAACCCATAATAAAAGTGCAGAAGACATAAGGCAGGTGCCAAGAAAATACTTTTTTAAAATCAAGAGATTTCAATGCAATAATACGTAAAGCAAATTATATATTTAAGTTATCTTAAGTCTTTAAACTAAAACAAATTATTATTAATGACGTTATTATATATTATTAATATAAATCACTTATTAAAAATATATTTTTAAAAAAATATGAAATTGAATTTGAATTCTTATTTTAAATTTTAGATCTCTTAAACAGAGCATCAACACATCTACTACATTAGCTCCAGCAACATCATCCGTAAGTGTAGGCAATATTAGTAATTCTTTACGTTCCAATAACAGCAGCAACACGGCAAAACATGAACAAACAACCGTGGCAGCAACTGTTGCTGCTGCCACTACCACACCACCGGAAAAAGAGAAAAAAAGAAAGGAAGTTTCGAGTTCCAGAGTGAAAAAATTTCATCGCCATTTCACTCAAGTTCCAAAGGATGAAAAACTTATTAATTGTAAGTATAAAAACATAATAATATAAATATAAAAATTGAATGATATATATAAAAAGGTATATAGAAGATAGAATTAATTGGTTGCAAATAATTCATAAAGTTGTGTTAATTTTCAATATAAACCGAGATATACATTTATAACGTAGTGTTAGCAAATTCAAATTAATATAAAGCCTAAAAATTCCAATGCGTTGTTAGAGTCTAGAAGTAGTGACAAAGGATATATAATAAGAATAAACATATGTTTACTATAGAGTGTCATTGCTTCAAGCGATTATCTAATATTACTAGTACAGACTTTGATGGGTGTGAATATTTTCTCAATATGTGATTTCTCAGTTCTGAAGTTTGGGGAAGCAGCTAGCGTATCCCAAAATCTTATTTTGGACTCTTAGTAAGCAGTATCTCCTGCAAGATCGGCTGCCACTGATATCAGTACTATATAAAGCCAGAAAAAAAGTAAAAGAAATGTACAAAAATACATATTTTTGAGAAATGGGCGTCACATACCGCGGACCACAAAGAAATTTCCCCAATTCGGCAGGTAATATGGAGGGTAGGCAGAAAATTAAACATCGTTATAGTACAGCGGTTAGCAGCGATGAAATAAAACCATGGTGTTTTTGTTGATGATTACAATGAAGACAATGATAACTTAATACAGCGAATCTATAACTCAAGAATAAGTTAATTTCAGCATAATCGAACTGTCGCATATTTACTTATTTACTGTAGTTATATGTAGTGTGACTAACACATGTGCTCAATTTTATCTCAATTTTAAAATAAAGAGGGAGTCTGGTTTTGAACACCGAACAAGTCTTTTGTCTAATTTAACTCGGCATGTGACAATATTTGTAATGCATATAGTTTTCAAATCGAATAATATAGACTATAGACTATAAACTATTTATCTTAAAATAAAAGATTTAAATAATTTTTTTTAATATGCTATTAACAATTATTGAAATCTTTCTCTTAACATATGTTACGGTATTTTTGGTTTCTTAGGACAAGAACTTAATTTGTGAATTTATAAATTTTTAAAATGAAAAAGTTTTTATAAAAATTAATGATTAAAAAAGAATTATTGTGTATACTTAATATATATACATATATATATGTATATGTAGGCATATAGATATGTTCTGATAAAATGATTTAATCAAAAATATTTGTCTTGATAGATTTTTCATGTGCCCTAGTCAGTGATATTTTACTGCAAGGACATCTTTATATAACAGAACAGCATTTTGCATTTTATTCAAATGTTTTCGGTTATGTTACTAAGGTAAGACTTTTTCTGAAGTATTTCTTTAAACTATTATTTAAACACACCATTCCCCCTTTGCAGGTTGTTATACCTACTTCATCAGTTACAAAAATCTCTAAAGAAAAAACAGCCAAAATTATACCAAATGCCGTCGGTGTAGCAACAGCCGACGAAAGACATGTTTTTGCTAGTTTTATAAGTCGAGAATCCGCTTTTCGACTTATGTGTAGTGTATGTCCACCAATGGCACCTGCAGAAGTAATAACAAAAACACCTGCAGACATAGAAATCTCTGAAGAATACTCAATTGAAGATGATAGCAGTTGCTCAGTCAGCGGCAATGAGAGTCCACCTCGCGGATTGGCTGACAATGAAGCTGCTAGTAACGCAGCTGAAGAAGATGCTAGTCAAAAACTTTTAAGACGTACTGCGGGCAGTTCAAGTTTTACAGCAGGTGATAGTAGTCATACAACAAAGGGAAAGGGACGAGGTTCAGGTAGATTTATTTTGTTGATTTAATTTACATTTCAAATTAAATAATAAATTTTTTAATATAATTAGACATTCCACAAATCAACGGATTGGGTCATGGAAATATTGGTGTACGCGCTTCTGCACCACCTACCGCTCCTATACATACATCATCTGCTTCCACATCCACCACCGGTGTAGCCGCTAGTGCAGCTACAAATTTAACTATGATTATTGCTGGTACAGCTTCTTCAACTGCATCCACATCTACATCATCAACACCAACACCTTCAACCTCATCATCGCCCACTACTGTTATGGCTAAACCAAAGACAACGGTGCAGTTCGCTACTGAAAACTTTAAGTTATTAAGTAAAAAATTATTAATAAATATTAAGATGCCAACAGAACAACAACTCGTATATTTGGGTGTTTTCCTCGCGTTGATTCTTTCGCTATTCTCAATCTTCCTATTATATAGAATTTTAAATATTGAGGCCAAAACAAGTTTATACAATTCGCCAACCTCATTTAAATGGGTTAGTTTTTTTATTATATGTTTTATTTATGTAATTTTAATTATTAAATTACTTTAAACAGCGTACCGGTAATGATGATGATATTTTCACTGAGGCTCTACGTTGGCAACAAGAACTTCAACACAAAAGCTCTGAAGAAGCTCAGCTTATATTAAAGAATAATTTAGAACAAATTTCTAAGGTGAGTTTTAAATTAATTTTATAAATAAGTTTTTTATAAGAATATTATCAAATATAGTTGTTGTTAATGTATGAATTTTAAATTATAATTTATCAGTATCAATTTGGGGTATTTTCCCATAATGTATTTCATTTTTTCGGTTCTGATGCGACGGGTATCCAATCGCTGACACAAATTTTGTTAAATTCAGCTACTACAACATCGTTTTTTCAGCCTGCCTGTCGGTACAAAATTGTCTAGTGATCTGGAAATGCTGAACTTTATTTTGTCCCTCTATTATGAGGGACAGAATTAGAAAGGACCCAGTCGCATTAGGTCATATACTTTATGAAGTACTCTATGTGGCAAAAGTTGCTTTATTTACACTTGATATACTCTCAGAAACATATAGGTATATATGTTTAACATTTACGTAAACATTATATATATCATTATTATATGTGTATATAAATATGTATATCTTTTAGAAAATCTGTTAAATATTCATAAAGAACGGTGTAATAATTATTTTATCAGTATTCTATATTTCTGTGTGTGGTTAGGATTAGAGTATGCCTAGATAATGTAAACTTTGGCAACAGGTGTTCACTGATATGCACCGTCATGTGAAATTTATGACTCTCATACCATTTGATTATATTTGGTATATAAACAATTTACCACAGGTTGCAATAACCTTTATCTAAAAAAAGCAGAAAAGTAAACTCTCTTATCAGTTCTTGAAAAGTATAAATGGGATTATTTGTTTGATATTAAAATTCTAAAAAAAATATTTGTTTTTGTTTTGCTATTTCAAATAATTAAGTTTATATTGATATTCTTGGATATCATAAAATTTTGAAAGTACTGGATTAGAAAATTTAATAAAGTTTTAATTGTAAATTAATTTTACAAGTTTTAATTTACAATTAATTTTACAAGTTTAATTTGAACCTTTTAAATTATTTCTTTATATTTTAATTTAAAAACATTGATAACTAATACTTATGATATTATATTCGAGTTGATACTGACTTTGACTGATTTCTAGAACGTTTACTTTTCACTACAGTTCTTCATACGTTATATATTTTTTGATTTAGATGCATTAGGACAATTAGTTAATTCCATTTAGGGTCCGCTGTTGTAAGGTTTTTGTTTTTTACAGCTCTTTTATCCACGTTTTATGGTGTGATGATTTATTACATATTAGATATTCTTTTGGCCAGTTACTCAATTTTTTCATTTTCATCGATATTCTGCTGTCTCGGGGTCTAGATGAGAGAAATCTTATGTCGTTCACTCATAGTAATTAAACAGCTTTCGCTTAGTTTCACTAGATAAGAGATTGTGTTTGGGATTTAAAATGCAGCTTATCCATTTTTGTATCCGTAGTCTGCGTTTACTATCTCACATATCTCCATATGAGCGAACAGTCATCCCTGTGAACTTTTTTCGAAATGGTTTATACAGGCCTGCATAGAATATTATCAAATTACTTATATTTGCTAGTTAATATTTTTTATTAATTAGTAGTAATCTACCTCTGCGTCTTAATTTGGTGATAAACATTGTGTTTTTTGCCGGAAAATTTGAAAGATATTTCGGTTAACTAAATATTGCACGCATTGAACGCCACTTAAATTTATATATCAGTTTTCACTGCTATGTAAAAAGGGAGCTTTATCATTGTAATGTATATTATTTTCTTGATAAGAGTGAGATATTAATAAATCTCAATATTTTGTTGAGCATTCCAAAGGCTTGCTTTACTTTTTTCAATATATTTTCGCTTATATCTTATTTCGTTTCGTTTAAATTTAAATATTCAAAATAAAACCAGTGCTTTATTCATTATCTTTTTGTGAATGAAAATCACTCGATAATCGCATATACACTTCTATTGAAGTACTGAAATTTGAAAGTCCAAAAACTATTGACAAGAAATGTTGCAGAAAAAATTTCAAAGAATTTTATCAGTTGCATAAAATTACTGCAGTACATATTAATAAAATCAATCTTTGTTTTTTCAAGAAAGATTATTTTTTATATTCTTTTATAAAAAATAAAATAATATAAAAACAATTTCGAAATTTAAGTGAAAAAATCTTATCTATAGTTTTTTTAAATAAATAATTGCTTTCTATTATGTTCTTATATTGGTTGTCAGTTAGTGAAATATATAATAGAATTTTACATATTCTCAAAACATTATTGAACATTTTTTAATAATATCAATGATTAAATGAAGTTTGTTGCGTTTCTTTTTTTCATTTCTAGAACCAAAAGATATTATTTAAAATATTGCAACAGGGTAACAAACTATCTGCATATCTAAAACTGCTAGGGTTTTTACTTTAAACAAAAAATCCGTAAATCTATATACATATCTCTTATACGAACTAAACTATTCTGATAGTATATATGGTAATAATATTAAAAATAAGTTGGATTTTAATAAATATTTTTTGAGGTTTAATTATACCATGTTTGTTTGCAGCTTTTTTTATGTTGGTGTTGCTGTGGTAACCCAATGGGACCTACTTGAAAACTCCCTTTGGAGGGTGTTGAACGGCACTTGTACGTCGACATTGACGAGTGTATCCGGTACATATACCCGGGGGTTCTTGGAAGCTTTATTATAGTCCATATCAATGTTTTGGATATTATATAAGTAGTTTTGTTTTTTCCAGAACTACTCTAGTAATGACACCCTATATGTCTAATAAAGTGGTTCGTAGTTTTTAACGGGATCAGAAACAATACTGAGAAACAAATACTGATTTCAATAAAAGATGCCCAATAATATTGTTATCTCCTAAAATGTGCCGAATAAAAATTAAAAACAGATACTAATCTCATAAGATCTCTAAAAATATTTTCAAAAGATTTGCAAGACAAAAAGTAAAAACTACGATGGGTAGCAAAAAATCCAAATTAACCTAGCTAAGCTATATTAAATAATGGCAAAAAATTTTATATCGGACATGTACACTATACACGGAAGTAAATGCCCAGACTTGAGAAGATTAAGGCATTCCGCTATGGAAGTCTGCAAAATAATGAGCTTGGCGAGCGTTCAAAATAAAGACTTTAAATATGTAATTTCCTTTATTGACCGTACAAGTTGGATTTAAGATATTAAATTTTCACCTCTAGGTGTGTAGCAAGAAAACGACGCATATGCGTTACTTAGTTTGAATGCAAATCGCCATCGTCATTTTAACTACATTTTTTCAGTATGAAATTGATATCAAACGGGATATTGATATATTAATCAAATAAAATAAGTTAAAATTTTAATCTGTCTCGTGATATATGCATTGGACTGCACCTATTTTCATAGGTTTATATAGTTCATAGGTGTTTATATTGTATGAGCACTACCTATTTAGAAGACTACACTCTAAATATAATTTAATATTCAAAAGAAGTGTTTTGGAAAATTTTCCGTTTTTTTAAAAATTATTACCTTAACACAATATATTATTTCCAAAAATTCTGTAACTTCTTCAACTTTTCCATTTATGGGGGTTATCAGCATTTTATTTGAAGAGAGTTTTTACCTTTCGTATCAAACTTTCATATTTTTAAATAAAAAATTACTCTATAGGTGGGTTAGTAATGTTATTAGTATAGTTTTTTTTTTTTTTTTTTGTTTGATAGTCTTTAGTATAAAGAAATAGACATTCTAAGTAAAATGCGGTTAATAAACTTTAAGTAAATATATATTATATTTTATAATTTTCTCAAGTAAATATATATTTTATACTTCTCTAAAGTAAATATATATTTTATAATTTTCTATTGCAATAATAAGAAATTGAAAAAATACAGCACAATCTGTATAACTAATAGGCTTATTTACCTCATATATCATATCTAGTTTATTTTCTAATAGTAATTTTTTTATTAATAAATCAACCAGACATCAACGTTGCTTCTGGACCCTATTACCCTACTACCAACTACTGTGATGTAAACACAAAGTTCTTTCCACTGAATTAGTCATATTGGACATTTTAATCTATACACTTCTAAAGTAGCTAAGTAGTTATTAATATATTTATAATACCGTACGCGTGTTTTATGATTCATAAATGCTTTGGGTAACCCTCTAACAACTTCATATGACTCATACTCTCACATTTTTTAGGATTCTTTAGAGAGATAACAAAATGCCAAATATTAACCTAGAAGCAAGCATTGGTGACTACTCTTATCAGTAATGCACAACAAATAATTTTTTTGTAAACAAAAGTGATAATTGTAAAGACTTCTTCATCCACTGATATAACATATTTCAATCAATAATATTTTGCTTTAAACTTAGATTGATTAGCGCACACATAAATTGTACGTGTATCTAAGGATTTGTAGATACTTTTGATAAGCCATAAATAAAACAAGAAAACAAAAACATCATTTTTCAATTACTCAAATACATATGTATATATCACACGTGTTATGAATTATTATATATGTATGTATATGCATATTCAGTGTAAACTGCAAGGAAAACAAATCCCGAAGTATGAATAACAAAATGTATATAAAATTCAATCAATGCGACTTTATAACTTTTATATGATTTAACATTAATTTTGATGAGATGATCGCAATGCAATCAATAAATTTAAAGCTAGTGCCAGAAACCAGATTTATAATGCAACTAATAAACCTATAAAGGATTTGGCATGCACAAGAGGAAGAATGAATATCCAATTCATTTTCTTGAGCAAAATGCATCAATTTCTACTATTCTGATATATGTAAAGCTAAAAGTATGATGTGACTCTCATTAAAAGAATGAAGATTGGCTAAGTGTTGTACCGTCAGCAATCAAGCAGTTTACACATTCTAACTTATGGCAAACAATGTATCATAATTTAAAAAAGGAAATGTACATAAAATTGTGTCAACATAAATTTATAATTCTCATAAAGTTTGTTATATATTTTCATTAAGTATCGCCTAATATTTATTTCATTTCAGGCGTATGCCGGCAACCCTAGAGTTGCGTTATATTTAATGTACATATATATGGAGTTAGACTTGAAAGAGTAGAATAATATTTCGGTTTCTAGAATAAATCGATTAATCTCAAACGTTTGCTGATTTTTTTAAATAATGATGTTTTTTATATGAAAGTTAAGTATGGCAAGAAATTGTTACTGAAATCATAAAGATTACAAAAGTATTGCCATATTAAACAATCAATCCCTTATACATTCTAACTTATGGAAAAAATATAGCATAATTTAAATAAAAGGGTGTGGAAAATTTTATCAACATAACTTTATAATTCTCATGCGGTTATATTGAATTCATTGGAGAAGTTGAATTAAAATTAATATACAAGCATTCCCGTATTTGAAATACTTGTATTTCAGTATATTTCTGTTTTTGCTTTGTTCAAAAATCTATCAAAGGGACGGTTGCCACTTTAAAATTTTTTCCTGTACCAAAATTGGTTTAAAAAGGTACCATTTCTGTAAAAAAAGGACCTTTTTATTTTTTCGTTCTGTGTGTTATAAATGAACAAAATATAAAATAGTACAAAGTTGCATTTATAAAAAAAAATTAATTGGAAATATCCACAATAAAGTTGGGTCGTCAAAAATGTACCATTTTTTGAACATGAGTACCAAACGAAAAAAAAGTACCAATTTTGGTACTAAAGTATCATAAGTGGCAACCGTGATCAAAGGTATCGATCAATGAGAGCAATTTCTAGCCAAAACATTTTCTAAATTTTATATGAACAAAATGAAGAGTCCGTGAAAAGAAAATGTATAGTCGTCAAAGGATTATAAATAATCAATTTTATCAATACAGCATTAGAGAAATGTTTAAAATAAAAATAGAAACAGAGGTACCGAGACTAAAGATTTATAAACATATATAAGAAACAAAGTAGATATATTAATGTGGTACATTTTTCTCGCTATAACTGACCCGAATCGAATAGAAGATATTTAGCTTTTCAAATGAAGGCTAGAAGGTCCCTCGTTGAAAATTTTCTAATATCAGATAAGGACTCGTTATTGTATTCTCTTTCTAACGCAGATCTAAAGTCATAAATATTAATACCTCTTCAGGCATATGCGAAATTTTTAATATTAATATAGACCCCCAATGCTGGAATGATCACCCAATCTAACTCATCCTTTTTTTCAACATATGTAAAGGAGATAAGTTATAAATCTTAATCTTTTAATATAGGTATTAAATTTCAACAATATTTCATTTAATTGAATTTTTGGGTGATCACATAACTATTTCGAATATTGCTAAAACCTACCATCAGTAGTATATTGGAAATGTTTATTGTTATTTACATATTCTAATAATCAAATACAATTGCTACTATTATTTTTAATATTACAAATATTTACTATCAGTCTTGGAAATGTTTTGTTAAGAATTTATTGTTCGTTTATAATTTTAAAGATTATTTTTAATTAATAAATTAAAATAAACAGTTTTTTTTTTTTGTTTTAAATTTTGGGTCGTTACTTCGAAAATGTTTAAATGCGGTTATTTTTGTTTTTTAAAATATACTAACTTTTATTTTTTAAAGTTTTTTTTTTTTTGTGTATCTCTACACGTGTTTCGGCAAATTCGCTTTTGCCTTCATCAGGAGAATTCCTAATATTAAAACATCTAGCAATCTTACAAACTATTTATACCATAAACATGTTATTTTTAAAACTAAACTTAATATTAATAAATCCTAAGGTTATTGTCCTTGGGGGTGACAGGTAAGAAATGGTGGCGGGGTTGGTCTGGTGTTGTTTTTATTTTTACATACAGGTAGTTAGGTCGACTGGTTGTCGGTTTTTTGGGATGTATCTAAAAAGGCACGATGACACGTTGCCTTTGTCGCCGTTGAGTAAAGTTGTGGTCTGATGTTTATGAATTTCGATGCTTTCTGCCGTTTCTAATTTCCAGCTATCCCTTACATTTTTGATTATTTGGGCGTTATCCCTGTTGATGTGGTGATTTTCCTTTACTATATGTCTGGCGACATTTGATTTTATGTGGGGGTTCATTTTCTTCGGTGCTTCTCTTGCTTCCTTCAGGTGTTCTTCAAGTCTTACTGATAAGGGTCTTTTGGTTTGTCCGATGTATACTTTGTTGCAGGAGCCACACTCTATTTTGTATACTCCGCATTTTTCGAATGGGTCAATTGGGTCTTTTGCGGATGGTAAAAGGCATTCAAGTTGGTGTGCTCTACTAGAGTGAACTAAGTCGATATTGAACTTTTTTAACTTGGATTTTAGACCTTTCGAGACAGTGTTATTGTATACTACAGCGACTTTTCTTTGTTTTGGTTTTTCTGCTGTCAATGTCGTCATGTTCCTGGAATGTAGTTGCCTTCGTTTCTTTTTTATGATTCTATCGATGGTGTTTTGAGGGTATCCGTTGATGTCCGCTATTTCTTTAATGTATGTGGTTTCTTCATTGATGGCTGCTTGTGTAAGGGGTAGCGTGAGCATTCTATGTATCATGTGATGAAAAGCAGCCATTTTGTGTTGGAATGAATGGTTTGAATTGTTGGTTATGACACGTTTTGTGCTCGTTGGTTTCCTGTAGATGCTAAATTCGAATATGCCGTTTTTGTGTTGTGTAAGTAGTAGTCTAAGAATGGTAGGCAGCCGTTGTTTTCTCATTCGTGTGTGAATTCAATGTTCCTGTGTGCACTGTTGAGATTTTTTAAAGTTTCTTGTAGCTTGTTTTTCCTTATGATTGCGAATACATCATCTACATATCTGATCCATACTCTTGGTAGGTAATTTTTTTCTTTTAAGCTGGATTCTATTCTGCTTATAAACAGTTCGCTTAAGAGGGATGATAAGGGGTTACCCATAGGGGCGCCTTTTGTTTGTTTAAAGAATCTGCCTCTGAAGGTGAAGTAATTTTCTTCCATGCAGAGTTGTGTTAGCTGGATGTAATTCATTATTTTAATTTTGTTGACTTTCTTTTTAAGGAGCTCTTCCTCAAGGATCCTTATAGCTTCTTTTACGTTAACACTTGGGTATAACGCTTTTACGTCGAATGATACGGTTTCTTCATCTCCCGTAATGTTTTCCAATTTTAGTTTTTCTGCGAATTCTTTGGAGTTCTTTACAGAAAAACTGTGAGAGCTGCCTAGGATGCAGGTTAGTTCCTTTACCAACCATTTGGCGATGCGTTGGCATGGGGATCTGTCTGCTGTTATAATCTCTCTCATTTCGTTTCCAGGTTTGTGAATCTTTGGTAAGGCTTTGAATCGTGGAAGTGAGGGTGCGGGTTCCTTCATTTGTTTTTTATCGAACTCTAAAATTTTCGAGCATTTTTCGACGAGTTTGTTGGTTCTGTTGACCATTTCTGGTAGGGGGTTGATTCTGAATTCTCTGTAGGGGCCATTATCAATTTTTTCTTGGACTCTCTGATCGTATTCGTCTTTGTCCGTTATGACTAATGCGTTTCCTTTGTTAGCTTTTATATAATATACTGGTTTCGTTTTAAGTTCTTTTAACACTTTTTGGTCTTTATTTTTTCTTTTTTGTTGCGTGTTAGTATATTCGATGACGCTTGCTGTGAGGTTTCTGATGGCTGATTGGTCTTCCAGTGATAGGGGAAACTCTTTGGTTGAGGTCCTGATTGCGGATTCTATATCGACAATTAGTTGTTCTATGTTGGGGTCCTCGTTAATTGCATGTTTTAAGCCATTGTTGAGTAGTTTTAGTTGGTTCTCGGTAAATTGTTGTGTTGACTGGTTGACGACGAAATTTTCCACTTTTTTACTGTTGGTTTCGGAGTTGGTGTTATCTTTGTTTTTAGTGATTTCACCTTGTGACTGTGGGTTATGGACTTCTTTTTTCTTTCGAAAGTCTCAGTGGTCTTAATTTTTTTGAGAAAATGGTCGAACTGTAATGGGTATTCTTTTGCTAGTTTTAGGTGTAAATAGTATGCTTCTCTAGTTTTTATGTCTAACTCGGCTCTCGATGATTGAATTGAACCTTGCATTAAATCTATTTCCATTTTGTGTATTTTAGTTGAGGAAATTCTCTTAGATTTGATTGATATCCTGTGGCTGACGGGGGTGATGTTTTCTTTGCTGCATTTCTTCAGGAAGGCGATGTCTTTGCTTAGTTTTGCTATTGATGTTCTTAGTTTTTGGAATTTTTTTGACTCGAGTGCCATGTTGGGCTTATATTTATTTTTGTTTTAATTTTTGAGTCGTTACTTCGAAAATGTTTAAATGCGGTTATTTTTGTTTTTTAAAATATACTAACTTTTATTTCGAAAGTTTTTTTTACACAAAAAAAAAAAAAAAACTTTCGATTTGTTTTAATATTAGGAATTCTCCTGATGAAGGCAAAAGCGAATTTGCCGAAACACAGATACACAAAAAAAAAAAAACTTTAAAAAATAAAGGTTAGTATATTTTAAAAAACAAAAATAACCGCATTTAAAACAAACAGGTTTTTCGAAAAGTAGTGAACTACTAAAAATTATTTTTTATATTATTTTAATTAATTGAATTTTTGGCTTGTTGATAAATAAATTAAAATGTAATACAAGAATTCAATATAATTATTATTTTTAATAATATATATATATATATATATTTTTTTTTTTTTTAAAAAAGTATGTAATAAAAATTTTTTTTCTTTTTTTTTTTAGGTGCGACGTAGTTTGGAAACATTATCAGCTTTAATCCATGACAGAAGCTCTGCTTATACGAACACGATTAGTAACGATAGTGACTGAATTTATTTTATACAAAACAACTTTTTATTTTAAGGGTACAATAATTAAAATCAACAACTCTAAAAGCAAAAAAAAAGGTTAGTATTTTTGAAAAAATAAAATTAAAATTTAATTTTAAACTATTTCATTATTATTTTTAGTTACAAAACACGGGCTACCATTTCGTCGATTAAGTTTTGATAGATAATATCCAATAACGGTTCCTAAATGTTTCTGGTTTCGCTATATACAAATTTCTATTATTCCTCTAGAAAGGATTTCTATATCAGCGTATTATAGTCTATAATATTTAACTGATTTAAGAATTACTATTATATACTTTTGTGCACATTTCTATAGTTAAAAGAAAAATAATTTTATTTGTGCCAAATTTTTTCTACAAAAATAGTTATTACATTTAGTATTTTTGCAAACCGTGAAATTTCGTTTATTTTGAAAATAATTTAAATAAGAAAAAGCAATTTAAAATTTTGAAATATAATATAAAAACTCATTAAAGCAATTAAATTTATGTAAGAATATTAGAAATTCCATTAAAATGTAATTTTAAAATATTTAGCAATAAATAATACTAAATATATTCCAAATAACCAAATATTAATTAATTTGCATATACTTTTATAATTTAATACATTTTGCTATTAAATATATTTAAATATGTATTATTAAAATTAAATGAATAATAAAAATAAATTTAAATAAAATTATAGAAATTATAAAAATAATTAAAATATTAAAAGTAATTAAAAATTAAGTACATACATATTTTTACATAACCAATGGAAAAAGCTGGGACATGGTGCAATTTATTTCAGATATAAATTATTTGATTACATGACTAAACAAAGAAATTTAGATAAATTTAAACAAAATTGTTTAAATCAATTTTTAGTTAATTATTTTTATCTAATATTATTTAAAGTTTTTACTTTTTCTAAATAAAAAGAGAAACATAAATAATTCAAAAAATATTTTGTTTAAAATCCATATGCTAATTATTTTTATATTTCATGAAATTTTTTTTGAAAAAATAAAAAAATTTTGTGTAGAATTTATATATAAAATTAAACAAAATATTTTGTAACTTAAATTAAGTTAATAAAATATTTTTAGTTTTGTATGACAAGAACACAATTAAAATACTTAATTGAATGTATGTATATGCAAAATTAAAAAAATTTTATATTAATACCCTGTGATAATTTTAATCTTTAAAATATTTATGTATAATTAAAATATTATTGTAATTATATTTTAAAATAGTTTTAAACGAATTTTTTTGCTTTAAATTAGTTTTAAATTTAATTTTATATATTAGCAGAATTTATTAGTTGTACTGATTTTTTTATTTCATATATGTTAAATTATATTTAAATTATAAGTTATAAACTATACGTAAAATGAAAAATATATATAAATATAAAATAAAAATGCAAAAATATTTGCAAATATAAAATAAAATTCACTGTTATAAACAAAAACAAAAAAAATTAGTAATCAAATTTGTAGCTTTATGTAGTGGTTTTTTGTGAATTTTCATGCTTACATAAAAAATAAAAATATTTAAAATCTATTACACATACATATATTAAACATTGTGAAATATACGTTTAGCATAATTTTAGTTATAAAAGAATTATGGAGTACTTTTAAGCGAATATGTAACTCTTAATTAATATGTGTATTATCTTTTTGCTACATTGAAAAATATGGGGAAACAAAAAATTTTGAAAAGTATATAAATGTAAAAATAAACTCAGATTCTTAAAAAAAAATACAGGTTTTTATTTACTAATATTAAAGTATGAAATAGAGGTACATGTTTTTTAAAAATATTTCGAATATTAATGTAAAAAATTGTGTACCAGAATATACTATCTTTTAAGACAGGTTAGTAAAAATGGGATCCAAATCCAAATCAATATAAATTCATTGCTTCAAATGCATTGTTCTTAATAAATGGTCGTGATTTTTCACAGCCATTAATAAGCAGACCCAATAAGTAAAATAAAATTATTAAGAAAATGTGAAATGTGAAATGCATACAATATCATAATAAAATATTAAAAAGCGCATTTGAATTTGAAAATGTAAACAAAACATTTCTATTTAGTTGATGAACCAGAAGAAACAACGATATTAAAATAATATGTTCTTCACACCTATAGGGCGAAGAAAAGAGGTTACATTTTCCAATCCTCCATCTCTGGCTATATCCATATATGCAGTAATAAATACTAGTAACTGACAAAGCTCTAAACAGGGATGAAAACATTTAATAACAAATTTAAAAATAAAGAATAATGATATATCACATAAACAATTACCTCAAACTGAACAAATTGGGATTTTATAGCGTCAAAAATAATGAACACAAATAAGAATGTATTACAAAAGATATTTTTGAAACGTCTTAAACATTTCCAAAAAATTTGAACGCACAGAAACGATTCTCACTTTCGCCTTAATTTTCGGCATGCTGCTTTATTACTTAGAGTAATACGATTTCCAATAACTTTTATTTTAACTGATGATTACATGAGATTACATTTTTTTTAAATCAAGCGAAGTTATTCTTTTTTATCTAAGAACCGAAAAAATTCGTCAGGAAATTTGAGTTCTCATTCTAAATCATACGGATTGGAAAAATGATACTTCATTTTTAGAACCAAAACTGATCTTGTACTATAACTGACAGTTCGCATGCTAAGCAAAGAGTTGGCACAGAGGTCTTTCGGAGTTGGTGCACCAGATAAACAACAATCAATGCGTTGTCTTCGTAGAATTTCTCTTCAAGTATCTTGATGGATTACTTATACATGCTACAGCAACTGACAGTCCTTTGTTCGATGCCTACCCGTACAGGAATCAATCGTAATGACACCGCGGGATCATCAGGCAAGGACTGGAGAATCAAATACTTAATTTTATGGGTTGGAGTCTCACTGTGAATTGGCTCGGCATTTCGACATGGTAGAAAGATGTTTTTCATTTATAACTACGGTAATGTATCATTTCTCCGTAGAACTGAGGTTAATGGTAGGCTATCTTACGGGTCATCATGTTGACTATGCTTAGGCCTCTAGTCACATTATATCTGACTCTT